AGTAATTGTTGAGGATTAAAAGAATTACATATACAAATCATTTGGAATCATGTCTGGTACATGGTATGCCTAAGTATTAGCTGTTATTATCATACTATCACTACTACCTCTACCTAGGAATTTAGCAAAAGATCAGTCTTTTCAAATAGTCAACATTTTTTTTTCTTTTCCTCCAACATCTATCATTTCTGTTGCTTGATTTACATAAACTAACAATAAACTACGCTCAAGAAGTAMGCAATGCACCTAATTCCCTTGCCATTTTCTTCTAGTCCTTATATCTTCCTCCTATTTCACATACCTAGGAAAGAATCATTTGAAGTTAACAGGATTATATTATGCCATAAATACATTCAGAAGCCACAGTAATACTAAGCTTAATACCAAAATTTGTAATATAATAAAAAAGGGAAAAAACTAAGAGAGAACTCCTCTCAGTTTTAACCACACATACACATGAAAACGAAAAAGAAAAGAAAAAGAAAGTAAATTGTTTGGCATTTTGTTTGTGGAACAGGTTTTGCACTAACAGGTTTTATTTAGTCATCATAACTGGGTGTTTAAATATGAATTGATATAGTATATTTAAATTATTAACTTCTGGATGATTAAAAATTTTGGTTCTTAATCTTTCATAAGTTTTGATAAGCTCAGGGAGCATTTAAAGATAAGATTAGAAATTCCATATATTTATAACATAATATGAACTATTTTAATTATTTATACACAAATAACATTTTAGACTTTTCTTGAAACACTGGGCCTTCAGTATTTATACATCTAGGACAGGTCCCAACTTGTACATCCTTGAGTCCAAGGTAGAATAACATTGTTTGATTTCTTTCTCTAGTTACCCCGCCCCAGTCAGCAGTTAACACCATTTAAAAATCTAATTATTCCCAGAAAATGTATTTCAATCATACATATCACCCCTACATACAGAATTAAGCTATAATTATAAAAGCAAATGACAATATAAATAATAGATTATACATACATTCAAGTATCCTTAAGGTTTTATATTTTTTCAGACAACTGTATATTAAATGTCTACTAAATTTGCTTGACCTTGGCAGACTGCATACAATGAATGTAAAACAAGATAAAATAGTGTTAGGTTATTACATTAGATTATTTTCTTATCTCTGTTGAGTATATTTTGCAACTAACATACAAGCATCTGTAATGTTTTAATTAGCCATACAAAAGGTATTAATTTAATACTTTTTAATGTCAACTACTGTCATATTTTATTCTAATAACTGGGAGTTTGTAATCATTTACATTTTATAGACAAGGACACTGAGATAAAGATTACTGTGATAAAGATTACATAGCAAGCAAGTAATGGAAAGTATATAAACACAGGTCTGATTCCAAAGCCTGTGCTAATGATAACATCAGAGACTCACAGTTGGCAGCATTACCCAAGTAATGTTATATAACTGCCTAAAATTTTTAAAAATATTTTTAACCTTAAAATATGTTGACAATATTTGACTATATTGACTACTGTGAAATGTAGCCATTGTTCCATACACTAACATCTTATCTAAAAGTAGAATAGAAAATCTCCTAACTAACCTTCACTTAATTAACTGGCAGAATTGACCAGGGCACATCCATCATAAAAACAAACTGGCAGACATTGCTGATACTGAACACCAGTGGGTAAAGGGTACTTTCTACTTGCCTGCACACTTCTGTTTCCACTAGTTGAGTTACATGTTTAATAAGAATCTGGTCTTTTCTTCCTTATAAATCTGTTTATGACATTCTACTTATAATTAATAATAACTATTATAATAACCAAGGAAACAAGTGCAAAAAAATATTTCTGTGACAACTAAATTTAATGCTTTGGGAAAAGTACATTTTGATAAACATAATTTTCGGGTTTGCGGGGYGGGTTTTGCTGAGAAACAAACCCATAGCCTTGCACACTTTAAGATTGCACTGTAACATAGAGCTACATCCCTRGCCTCAATAATCATAAGTTTGATGAACATAAATTCCTATTTTCCAAAACCAAATTCATGTTGAATTATAATGTGCTGATAAAATTGTGTGTAAAAAGTCTTAAAACTTTGAAATTATTAAAAATATAAGATTTCACCCCTTGCTTTGGAAAAGTCTTATTACACCTTAATGAAAACAAAACTAGAAACTTTAGGTGTACATTGTTGCTATGCTTTATACAAGAAAGATCATGTCCATTCTAAAAAAAACCCAGACCCTATCTCATTTTCAAAAAGAGCCTTGAGGTGCTCTTGTCCAGCATGTGAGAAGCYCTGGCGCAATCCCCAACATTGGGGGAGGGGGAAGCAGCAGAAGAAAAGCTCACATGAAACAACAGGTGAAAAAATTAAGGCTGCTATATTTTTCCATGATTCCCCACTTAAATTGTTTCTATTAGCCAACTATCACACCCAATCATAAGATAAGAGGCTCCAATTACACTTAGAAATTTGAACTCCCTGAAGCACAGCTGTATTCAACTAAGCAAATATCTGAGCATCTATATTAAAATCTATACTTACATTCTGAATGAATACTTGAGAGGTTCTATTATTTACCTTTATTTTACAAAAAACTTAATATTAAGTATGGTTATCTAGTTCTTTAGTTCACAGATTAAAAGCAGGAAATTAAAGGAGGCAAGAATAAGCATTATAGGAACAAAAACTGTTGATACCAAGAGAATATAAAAATCACACAAATCTAAATATGTATGTGTAAGTATAGATAGATAGATAGATAGATGCAATAATCTGGTAATTTAAGCTAGATAAACTGGAGTAGTTCAAGCTAGAAAAAAACCTCATAAATTTAAATATCTTTTTCAGGCATCTCTAGATTATGATCCAGCAAAAAGTTGAAACTCACAGCAATGTCCTTTTATCATGAACTAAAAGTTAAATTACATTGGCTCTGCAAATTCTTTTTCTTTCTATTAAGAAAAGGGCAGAGGAGCATTAATATTTTAGGTATCTCTCAATATATCATGATTACAAAGGAAAATATTTCTGGCATTAGGAGTGATATTTAAGTTATCTAGAAATTTGACTCATGAAATAGTTCTTTGGAAACCAATGTATTTTTAGTATTTTTAGCTAAGGCCTACAACTATGCCTTTCAAAATCAATAGGTTGTGACAGCCAGCAATTTAAAAAGTGAAAAAGAACAGAAAATAGAAGATCATATTGCACATAGTAAGGGTAATACATTTATGAAAAACATTTCAGTATTTTTGTACTAATTTGCTAAGTAAAAGATATTAATTACTCTGGGTCCTGGTCCAAAAATCTGTAAGCTTAAAAAACTTCATTTATYATTATGGAATATAATCAATACTAAATTTATAATCCCATCATTTTCCTGAGAATACTAAAGTAAGACAAAATTTTAAGGGGGGGATGTCGGTTTCTTTGGAATTTTTAAAATTATTATTATTACTTTGTATGTGTGGTACTGGGGATTGAATACAGGATGTCATACATGCTAGGCAAAATACTTTACTATTGCACTATATCCCCAATCATTTATTTTATTTTGAGACAAGGTCTCACTAAATTGCTCACCAAGATTGGCCTTGAACTTGAGATATTCTTGGAGCCTCAACCTCCCAAGTAATTGGGATTACATGCATACACTAAATTGAGCTCTTTGGAAATCTTTATTTCCAAATGAATTTATTTTCCCTCCTTATCTATTCAGGTGTATAATTAAGTATTTCATTTGGTTTAGCACTAGTTTAGCCTAAAATAGGTAATGCTATTTTTTAAACTCCTGTGACTTTAAAGCAACTTTTAACAACAATCCAAAACAAATAGTGACTTTGATTTTATTTGCTTGTTTATTCTGAGATGCAATTACTGACCTTGATGCCATTTTTCCAAAGTCACTAATGTAATCTAAAAATCTAAACTTCACATTGTAAGCAAGCAACCTGCTCAATAATAATATACTTACTAATACTTCATACATACCTAGCTATTGCCTGATTCTAAACAAAATTAATTTAAGCCACTAAATATGTCTTTGTCTGCTTCTAATGCATTTTAATAGATATTATGACCCAAGAAATGTTTTAGACAATTTGTCTAATTATTTATATACAGAAAAATAGCCAGTTAATATATATCTTTTTAAAGTAATCATCTAATTCATAGGATAAAATACTATTTTGAATACTAAAGTCTCAGAGTTGGAAGGAACCCTGTGACCTAGTCTAACTATCAAATACCATAATCCCCTCGTTACAGTGTTCCTTCGAATCAAACCCATAGCTGACTAAAAGCCCTAGAACTACATTAAAATCTTCTAAATCTGGTCCTTGCCATTAATCAGAAGACTGATAATCCCTTTGAAGTCCTTGAAAAGCACAGTGTAAATATTATTCTTTTAAGCTCTGAAAATACAGGTTTAGAAAGGAAGTAGCATTTACCTATCACTAGGAATTTTGGTAGCCTTAATTGTCCATGATATATAGAATGCTTGAGTCCTTTGCAATCTTTTGGAGTCTGCTTAAAGCAAAAAAATCAGCTAATGAAAGTGTAATAATAGTTGTCAACAATCTTAAATGTTTGCTATCAAGTTCAAATTCGCAAGAGCTTAAAAGGCTTGTTTAAAAATCTTGTAAATATCATTAAAGTTGAAGTTGGATCCACTATACCTAAAAGTGAATGACTGCAACTCTAAAATGATACCAATAATTGTGGCAACAGATATAAATGCTACTTTTGATTAATTCCTTTTAACATACACTAAATTTTCTATTGAAACTACTGCTCTACAAGCACTTTTGAATAACTGTCCTCCCCTCCTAACCCTCTCTTCCATATGTCCTCCTTTTCCTCACCAGCTGGAATCTGTCACAGAAACAGATAATTACATATGATGCAGAAATAGTTGATCCTGCTGCAGAATTAGGTTAACACGTCTAAAAGKARGCACAGAAAACAAAACAAAAAACAGGTCCACTTAAATAAATCATTTACCTCGGTCTGGCTTCATTTTCACATCCAATTCCCACCCAGAGTGCTGTGAAATACACTTGGGGGTTCTTTCAAAGCGCTCACTGTTGATTCGAGGGCTTCTACTTAGTTTTCAAAATGCTAAAAGAGATCAAAATAAAATTAATCTGGTCCTGCTCTAACACCAGGACTGTACAAGAAAACTGTAAAGTTAGGCCTATTGTGGCACAAACTACTGTTGACAGCACCATCGGCAGATGTGAAAAGTGCAAAACTCTTTGCATGGTCTCCCCCATCTCCTCCCGAAGGAGCACCCCTCTCCCCGCCCCTCAACTCTCCAGGCCAAGGTGTCCTTCTCTGACACAGCGTCTCCGAACCAAAGCAAGGTCTATTTATATCCCGGAGGTACAAGCAAGAAGAAAAAGATTCAAGCAACACAAACTAACCAACCCCTTTGAGGGGGAAACAAAACAAAACCCAAAAAATGCTTCCGGGAACAGTGGTACCTCCTCAATGCTGGTCTATAAGTTCTTCCACCTGGTGCCAGGGGGCTGGAAACTCTTCCAGACCCTGGCGTTTCCCAAGAGCTCCGCCCGACCCGMCCGGCCTCACCTGTGTAATTACCCTCTGGCTAGCCTTCCTGAGGCAACAGCGGCCAAGTTTACACAATAAGAGGGTCTGAAAGAAATTCGAGTCATCCTCTCGCGCCCAGCCCCCAGCTCCCAGCTCAAACGAACTCTCCCGGACTGTCCCGGGTCGCCCTCTACAAACCCCGTCCCTACGTGGCCCAGCCTGAGGTCTGCCCCCAAGGAAGGTGTTTACAGCTGAGCGCTCGCTCACCCACTGCTCTGTGCAGCCTGCTCGCCGCGGGCCCCTTCCGTCCCGCCGCGGCCCCGGATTTCCTTCAGCCCCGCGGCACCGAGCGCCGAGCCTGCCGCTCTCCCTCCTGGAGAGTAGTTTTCATGGCGCTCTCGGGCTGGCCCGCTCCTCGACTCCCTCGGCAGACCTCTGCTGACTAACTCGCTCTCTTCTCCCGTCCCAATACCTCCTCCTTTTGGCACTTCTCTCCGCCTCTAGTCCAGCAGCTCACATCACACTCCCACCTCAGACCCCAGGCTCCAAAAGACGCAGGGCCGGCGAGAGCTGAGTGTGGTGCGCAGCGGCCCCMGGGGCTGCGTTAGGGGACCATGGGGGTCCGAGACCGCAAGCCCGACTCGGCTCCCCGGCGCCCCTGTGGCCATCCACCCCCGCCTCAGCAGACGCCTCGCTCCGCTCCCTGCCCTCAGCCCCTCGCCCTGCCCGACTCGCACCCAAGCCCCGCGGCCCCGGGGTTCGCCCGCTTGTCGCCCCGGCCGGCCCGCTTGCCCCGCGCCTCTGCCAGCTCCTCGCCCGCCCGCTGTCGCTAGCTCTGGCGCCCCAGCTCTGGATCCCCCTCGCTCGCCCAGTTCTTTCTCTGCTGTTTGCCCTGTCAAAACACTGCCTGGGTCACGTGTCCCAACAACAGCCAACCCACCGCTCGTCACTTCCTCCCCGGCGGCCACTGCGGCGCGGGCGCCCGGTTGTTATAGCAACGCCGCCGCGCGCCCGGGGGCTCTAGTCTGCGGGCCCGGTTTTCCGTGCAAGTGCCTGGCGGGCGCGAGGGCGCCAGAGGTGGCGGCGCCGGCGGGCCCGCCCGCCCAGTCAGGAAAGCCCCGAGACGTTGAGCTTTTCGGTCTCGCTTCTTGACCGCTCTCGGAGCTGACTGAGGCGCACCATCTGAGATCAGGGATTGGAGCTGCGCTATTAGAGCACAGAGTAACTGGGGAGATGTCATTCGAGGGCCTGCCCCAGACGTGGAAGATAATTATAGTCTCCTCCTTCTCCTCCTCCACACTGGATGCTGGCGCAGACCTGTGACTGAGCCCCAAGTGGATTGCAGTGCACCGTAGTACCCGGGTTTAAAGTGGCCGGGGCAGGAAGGTGGGCAGCCATGCATGTCAGGGAGCAGGGAGTTGAAGGAGAGGAAGCTCTTCCACCGCCCGCCCCAGATTTTCCCAGATCACTAGGGGTTCTAGTGGGATTCAGAACCCAAGCTTCTGAAGCACTGGCTGTGCTAAAAATAACTCTTATAACTTCTAAAACACTGACTCATGGGCAATGTTCTAAAACATGACACCATGTTATTGTTGGGGAGCTGTAATTTTGTTGTTGTGCTATAACAATGTGACATGRTGACATTTCGTGTTGTGATGTTGTGTCATCACTTAAACACAAACAGATGGCAAGAATCTGTTGTAGATTAAAAAAAAAAAAAAAAAAAACAATCCTAACCAGGGCTGCAGCTATTAGCTACTAAGATTATAAACAAAGTACACATACATGACGTTGTGAGCCCAAACGGAGACAAGAAGTACAAAATTTGCAAGGCTCTTTGGTTTCATTAGGGAAAAAAAATTTTTTTTTAGAAATATTTTGCATAAAAGTGACACAACAGGAAAGTACTAGGACAGGTCTAAAAATAAAGGTTTTTTTGTGAACTACAGATTGGCAATTGCTTCCCCCCCCCCTTCAGATCAAATACATGAAATTGTTCTTATGAAAAAATAATTTTTCTGGATGTTTAGATATTTACAGTAAAATAGCATGCACAATTGCAATGTTCATTTTTAACTCCATAATTGTAACTAATAAGAACAGGACATACAATTGAGAAGGGTAACATTTCTTTTTCACTGAAATGTTCTGGCCTCATGAAGATGAAACTTCTGAAAAATAGCAACAGTTCTTTAATATTTAAACAGTTTTTTTAATAGTGGTTACAAATTTTGATTCCTAGTAGATATGACACTGATATTATTGGATACTGTATTATGTCGTTTTAAAAAATGCACTGAAGTTTTAGTTGTTCTACAATCACTTCTCAATTAACCTTGGYAATGGGAGACTGAAGCAACAGTTTACAGATAATACAAAATCCTAAATTTAGCTCAACAGCTGGGTCAGATATCAGCTATTGTAAAAGGCTTACTGGGTGAATAGGCAGCAAGATCTGTGATTTAGCTCCTCTACCTCTACCTAGTTTGAAAGAAGTATAAATATCAGAAAAATGTTAAGTGCACAAGTCAAGAATATTGGATAATCTGGAGCACAAACTATTTTCTTTTTGAATAAGTTTTAATAGCACATGGATAAATGAAGATGTCTGACGATTTGTTGGACTAACAAATATTTTTATCGAGACTTTTAAATCTATTTAAAATTTTGATATCATAGCCAGATACAATGGTGCCTGCCTATAATCCCAGCAGCTCTGGAGGCTGAGGCAGGAGGACTGCAAGTTTAAAGCCAGCCTCAGCAACTTAGTGAGGCCCTAAGCAACTTGGCCAGACCCTATCTCTAGATAAAAAAATGAAAAAGGCTGGGGATGAAGCTCAGTGGCTAAGCTGAGCAATTGCCAATCCGTAGTTCACAAAAAAACTTCATTTTTAACTGGGGTTAAATYTCCAGTTCAAAAAAAAATTTTAACAYTATTAAGGTACTAGACAAAGTAAGAAGTATATTTCTGACTCCTTAATTATTCAAGTTATTGTTTCATTAGTGCAACATGCATTTACTGAACACTATCTGCTATGCACATACTCGTCTCTGAGAATACAAGTCACCCAAATCACACAGGGTCATCATTCTCACAAAGCTTATAGTGCTATACAGTTGGATAGTGGCAGTCAAGTCACATTCAACAAACCTTAGTTTGACATTACAAACATGGGGTGTTTAGACTCTGAAGTAAATAATCTCTTTCCTTTCAAATTCTAAAAGAATCCTGTAAGTGTATAAAACATGTCCAGAGTGTTTAGAAATAAAGCCCTAAAATGAGAATCACTCTAATTTTTGAAGAACAAACATCTCTAATTTCTACTTGGTGATGGGTAAAAAAGTCAAGACAGCTAGCAGGAATCTAATCCTTTTTTCATCTGACTTGCTCTCATTTTGTTTTCCCCTAATGCTCCAAAGCCATATGAATAATTAGCTTCAAAAAAGTTAACTCATCTTCAGCATAATCATCCCTTCAACTTCTACAGATCTTATTGAAATGAGCAGCATAACAAAAACTGTATTTAATGAAGCTTATTGAGTTATTTTTCTTGCTTAAAATGATGAAAATAATTTGTTCGCTTACAATTATGCACAGTTGTTATTGTGACTAGTGTTATGGAACCAGGCCAGATACCCAGGATGAGCTCTGCCAGAGCAGGAACTGGTACCCTGTTCTTCTATCCCTACCACGTAACAAAGTCCCTTACAAAGAGTAGGAATCCAATAAACCTCATCCTTTGTATTAATAAACTTTTCTTGTATGTTTCCATAAACCATATTCCTATTGCTGGCTGGAATTTTTCTCCCTAATGGGATAAGGCTAAAGAACTGAGAAATTGGTAGGTGGCACAAACTTCATTTGTGAATGATATATTTTCATTATACTTTGGCATTGTCTTAAAACAGCAGGAACCTCTGGTGGGTTGAATTGTGACCCTCTGAAAGATATGCTAAAATTCTACCTCCTTTATTTGTGAATGTGACCTTCCTTATTTGGAAATAGGATCTTTGCAGATATAAGCAAGATAAGATGAAATCATATTGTTGGGYCCCAAATCCAATGACTAATGCCAACATAAAGAGAGAAATTTTTGAAGACAAAGGAGATTCAGAGAAAATGACCATATGACAAGGAAAGACATTGGAGGTTTTAAGATTAGTCACTAAAACATGGAGATCTTTAATATTGCAAAAGCTACAGTAGATCAGTTGAAAATATTAAGAAAATCTCTCAGATATCACAAAATTACTCTAGAGCCCATAGCTAATGGATAATCATGAAAAATGGTTGTGAATCATCAAATGAAAATACTATTTTAAACATAACAATTGGTAGATTTTTTTCATCATAAAGTATTGGAAATAAAAATGTAGAATTAGTTAAAATATATAGTAAACTTAAGTCTTTCACAGTAAGTAAAAAACAACTGTGACACAAAATGAAATGCAAGCTGAACAAACTAAACTATTGAAGCAAGATCAAATGCAAACTATCTTTTCCATATATAAATTATTTCTGACTATTCACTTAYATTCATTGCGGTTTAATCCTTTCTAAGTAGGAGAGATTATGGAGTCGCTGCTAAGGTATTGGCTTCTGTAAATGACACTCTACCTTTCCTTAAATTGGTTGGTTGGTTTATCCTTTTTTTTTTTTTTTTTGAGGTTCCTGTTTGTCTAGTCTCTATAACCACAGGTATAAGGAAGTTAAAGAAAAAGAAAAAAGATTATTTCTGGTTCCTAACTGCTGAAGTGACTGTAGTACTTARAATATATAGGCCTGTAAACTTCAAGGCAAGGAAACTTCTAATGCATTTGAAGGTTTGCTGAGTCAAAGATTTGCTGAAGTTTGTCTCTGGACTACCAAGGCTTAAGGTCTTTTCAAAAGTTATAATAATCACTCATTTGCAACAGTAATTGTGTTTCACACTTCACATATATTATATATTTGGTCCTAAGTGGATGATACCATCTCATGGGTTGAAAATTGAGGCTTAGTGAGACAAATAACTTTCTTAAGATTATAGTTAATAAATGGAAGGAGCCTACTTCCTGTTAATTGATTAATTTAATTTCCACTGTAACATTCTGAAGCAGGTTAAATAATTCTGAAAATTTCAAGTGGGGAAACAAAGGCTCAGAAACATTGAGAAATGGTTGTACATTTGGAATTTCAATTGGTTTATATAAATTTAGGCTCAATATTTTGGGACATAAGTTGTAAGTAGATTATCTCTGGTTTGGTTAGTTTTTGTCGTATATAAATTCCAAAGAGCAAATAGTCACACTCAGGTAATAACAGCAACTAAAATGTCTTAGATACTTAAGTACTAAGCACTATTCTAAATGCTTAATATGCATTAGTCCATTTAATCCTCACAACATCCTTATATAGTATTATTATCCCTATTTTTTAACCACATAAACAGTAAAAGGAAAGATAAATAACTTGCCTAAGGTTAAGCAATTAGGTAATAGCAGAACCAGGATTCACACCAAGGAATATGACTTGGGAGCTTAATTCTTAATCACTACCTGTTCTTGGTTTCTTTTAGTAGGGTTTCCCACCCAAGCCCTGCACCTTCCTACCCATGAGATTCTGCCATTTCCTCTATTTCATATCTCTCCCCAGTTCTTATCCAAACCCTTCTGAACTTTCAGAGTCCAAAGTCTTACCTTATGATGTCTTCTAAAACCCATACTCACATATACCACCTGTCTTTTTT